ACGTATACCCTTCGTGGCCCCCGCTCCTTCGCGCTCGTCGTGGCCCAATATGCATGCGCTTCGTGGCCCCGCTGTCGCCCTTCGTGGCCCCCTGCGCTGCCCTTCGTGGCCCCTCGGTGCCTTCAGTGTCCCCGTCGTTGCCCTTCGCGGCTCAATATACGTATGCCCTTCGTGGCCCCCGCTCGTTCGCGCCCGTCGTGGCCCCATGTGCATGCCGTTCGTGGCCCCGCTGTCGCCCTTTGTGGCCCCCTCGTTGTCCTACGTGGTCCAGTTGCTACCCTCAGTGGCCCCGTCGTTGCCTTCTGTGGCCCCGCATTCTGTGCCCTTCGTGGCTCCCGCTCGTTCGCGTTCTTCGTGGCCCCATACGCATTCCTTTCGTGTCCCCGCTGTCGCCCTTCGTGGCCTATTTCGGGCCCTTCGTGGCCCCGCTGTCGTTCTCTCTCTCGCTTCCGCTTTCGCTTGTCGTCGTCGTCGTCGTCGCCTTCGTCGTCGTCGGCGTCGTCGACGTCGTCGTCGTCGTGCTCGGTCCCCTGTCCGTCCCTCTTGGGGTCGGGTTGCCGCCGATCAGCGCTGCCGCTGGCCAGGCCGACGGTCCGCGGCCGCCCCGCCGCTTGCCAGGACCCAGCCTGCAGGGAAGAAAGGTATATCCCCCCAAAGGGGTACGATCTAAGACGAAGAGGGCGGGTATCGAGGTCTAGGGGAATACGAGTTAAAGGACATTCGAGCAGATAAGAGCGAACAGTCTTAAACTGAGTGCAGTTGTTGTTGTTGTTGTTGTTGTTGTTGTTGTTGTGGTGGTGGTTGTTCTTGTTGTTGTTCTTGTTCTTGTTGTTGTCCTTGTTGTTGAATGCTTATGTCTAACGAATAATTGTTGGTGATGTCCGGAAAAAGGTTCTGCGCGCTCTCGCCTCGACGCCGGCTACATGTTCTCTGAAAGCGAGGCTCCCGTTCGAGCGTTGGCTTGAGCCTAAATGTGGGCCCTTGGAGGCCCAGCTCCGACAACAACGGCTCACGTTAGATATTTCCGCAAACTTTACTCAGATACATTCTGGCCAGTGAGGACCCCGAACTCAGGAACGGCGCTCCCGCTCGAGACTTCCCCGCAATTCAATTAGGTTGGCGGAGACCCAGCCACGACGACAAGGGCTCTTGTTCGATACTTCCGCACGATTTACTCCGAGAGCCCCTGGCCAAGAAGGCCCCCAAACTCAGGAACGGCGCTCTCGCTCGAGACCACTTCGCACTTCAGCCAATGCCCGACAAGGAAGATATTCCCCCCGAAAGGGGCTGCAATCGAAGACGAAGTGGGCGAGTATCGAGGGTTGGGGTATACGGGATTCAAGACGCGCGTGCCAGTAACAGTAAGAGCAAACAGTCTTAAACTGATTGTTGTTGTTGTTGTAAACCTGGAGCCAACGACACAATATAGTTCCGTGACTCAAGTCTTTCCCTGCTAAACAAACAGGGTGCGAGCCTTAGCAAAGGGCGGCATTTCAATTGAAAGACAATGTGCCCTGGATTGGGGGATCAATACTAGTTATCCTTGAGAAGTGAGAACTCAACAACGGCTCCGCCTGATACTTCCTCACGGTCTATTCAAGATCGCGCCCTCGCGCGGGACTTCCGCCAAATGTGTGAAGGAATCGCGCACTCGCGTGGTAATCGCCCTCAATGTATTGAGACGTCGCGCCCCCCACACTCATGTTTGGGCCCTCCTTGGGCCGTCTCGGGGCCCTCTTGGGGCCCCTTGGGGCCGTCTTGCGACAATCCTTGGGGCCACTTGGGCTGTCCTGGGCCGTTCTGGGCCCAGAAAAGCGAGAATCACAAAACCATACAAACAACTAAGGACAATCCATGTTTTGGCCTCCTCAGGGTCACGCTCTCGCTTTGGACTTGATCTCCTCACTTTGGAATCGTGCAATCGCCATCGTTCGCGCCAGCGTTGTCGTATCACCCGGGAGGAAGGGGCGATGACGGCGCCGCGCCACGGCAGCTTGCCGATCCCCCCGTCGGAGGTCCCCATGCGTGATATACACAGATGTAAACTTTTATCTCAAAATGTACATATCTTATACATAAATATACCATCTATTGTAGGACCGATGTGGGATGATGAACCTCATGATGCCAATGATTCGAATGAGGGGCGGGAAGGGGAGGGGGGGGGAGCCCAGTGGAGGCATGATGATGGAGGAGGCAGGCAGAGGTGGAGGGGGAGAATGGCGTGAGGAGGACTGTCGAGGATGATGCGGAGGAGAAGAAGGAGGCGCATGACAAGCACGCGGATCTTGATACTAACGAATATGGGGAGGATGATTTGGGGGACGGTGACCAATGATCATGGATGAGGGCGATGACGGGGGGAATGATGATGAGGACGGGGGGAAGCAAGATGAGACGAATTTGGATTGGAATGAGGACGAGGAGCAGCAACCATTTTTCGGCCGCGCCCGGTTCCTCATCGCCTGCCCCCTTGTTGTACGCAAGTTCCGTCGGTCGGCCAAGCATCTTCTTCTGCCCGTCGTCGAGGAGCGAAGGATGATGACGGAGGAGAGCGGGAAGAGGAAGGAGGAGGACGAGGAGGAGGAGGCCGCCTTTTAGGTAGGCAAGGAGGAGGAGGAGGAGGAGGAGGAGGAGGAGGAGGAGGAGGAGGAGGAGGAGGAGGAGGAGGAGGAGGAGGAGGAGGAGGGGAGGAGCAGGTGGGGAGGAGGAGGTGGAGGGGGGTGGGGAGGATGGGCAGAATGAGGGGGAGGAGGACGAGGGGGAACGGGAGCATGCCAGTAACCTAGCGAAGCATCAGCAGCAAAACGGTACGACGGAGGCCAGGATGGGACACACATGACGAGATGTATGTGGCCGAGGATGACCATAAGGGAGGATAATTGATATGCTTGAGGAGATATATGGTTTTGGGAACCAAAGGGCCAGATGTGGAAGAAGGGAGTGAGGAGGACATAACATCAGTGACTGCGAGAGAGGATGGGGCATGCTGCGGGATGAAGATGAGGAGGGCGGGATGAGGGAGGGAGGATCGGGATGCTGATGACGATGTTGGTAATGCTGATGATGATGATGATGATGATGATGATGATGATGATGATGATGATGATGATGGGGATGCTGGTGATGATGCTGATGCTGATGCTGATGCGGATGCTGATAGTGATGATGATGACGATAAAGATGACGATGCTGCTGCTGATGATGGTGATGGTGCGATGAGGTCTTGTGAATGATGGTGGTGGTGCGTGATGATGGTCTCGACACCGACGACCGCGATGATGCTATTGCTGCATATGATAACGATGATGATGATGATGATGATGATGATGATGATGATGATGATGATGATGATGATGATGATGAGGAGGAGGAGGAGGAGGAGGAGGAGGAGGAGGATGATGACAACGACGATGATGATGATGATGATGATGATGATGATGATGACGATGATGATGATGATGATGATGATGATGATGATGATGATGAGGATGATGAGGGTGATGACTTGATATGGTGATACGGATGACGACGGTGGTGGTGATGTCGACGACGATCATGGTGATGATGATGCTGATGAGGTTGATGTTATTTATGATGAACACGATGTTGATGCTGATTCCGATAACTATTACGCCGGTTATGCTGATGAGGCATTGGTGATGATGACGACGATGACGACGATGGTGATGGTGCTGATGCTGATTATGGTGCTTCGAGAAATGATGACGACCATGCCAATTATGACTATACTTACGACGATGGTGATGATAATTGATATTGATTATGGCTATTACTCGGACAACGCTGCTACTGGTGATATTGTGCTGATGATGCTGCTGACGATGATGACGACGATACCGACGACGATTACGATGACGACGATGATGATGAGGAGATGATAGTGATGCTGATGATGATGCTGATGATGATGATGATGAAGCTGATGATGATGCTGATCATGATGATCATGGTGGGGATGCTGGTGATGCTGATGCTGATGATGGTGATGATGATGCTGATGACCATGGTGATGCTGCTGATGATGATGCTGCTGCTGATGATGATGCTGAGGATCATGATGATGATGCTGCTGACGATGATGTTGCTGGTGATGATGATGCTGATGATGCTGCTGCCGATGATGCTGTTGCTGGATCTGGTGATGGCGATTCTGACGATGGTCTGATGCTGATGCGGATGATGATACTGATGCCGATGACGATGATGCTGGTGATACTGATGCTAATGGTGATGATGATGATGCTGATGCTGATGATGATGATGATGATGATGATGATGCTGATGCTGATGCTGATGATGATTTTGATGATGATGATACTGATGATGATGATGATGATGATGATGATGATGATGATGATGATGATGATGATGATGATGATGATGATGTTGATTCTGCTGATGGTGATGCTGCTGATGCTGATGATGATTTTGATGATGATGCTGATGATGCTGATGACGGTGATCGTGATGATGCTGATGATGCTGATGATGCTGGTGGCGATGAAGATGATGATGATGATGATGATGATGATGATGATGATGATGATGATGATGATGATGATGATGATGATGATGATGATGATGATGATGATGATGATGATGATGATGATGATGATGATGATGATGATGATGATGATGATGATGATGATGATGATGATGATGATGATGATGATGATGATGATGATGATGATGATGATGATGATGATGATGATGATGATGATGATGATGATGATGATGAGGATGATGATGATGATGATGATGATGATGATGATGATGATGATGGTACCGATGCTGATGCTGATGCTGACGCTGATGCTGATGCTGATGCTGATGCTGATGCAGCTGCTGCAGCTGATGCCGCTGCTGCTGCTGATGATGATGACGACGATGATGAGGTGGAATATGAGGCGGAGGCGGTGGCCGACCTTGACGAGGAGGTTGAGCGGGAGAGGCGAGGTGTATCCCCCCTTCGCCAGGGAGTTGGCGCCCGTGTGGCAGTCTGCAGCGGAGACTCTGCACGGCACAGTGGACGTGGCCGAGGCGGTGGGGAGCGAGTGCTTTTGCCCGGGGTCGTGAGCTTCCGCCTTCCTCCTCCCTCGTCGTCCTCGTCCTTCACCTTCTCGCCCCCCCCTCTCCCCCCCTCTCCCCCCCTCCACCTCCGTCCTTCCTCGTCCGTCCTTCTCCCCCTCTCGCTCTCTTCACCTCCCCTCCTCCTCGCTCCTCTCTCCCGCTCCCCTCCCCCCCTCCCCCCTCCCCTCCCCTCCTCTCCTCTCTCTCTCTCGCCCCCCCCCTCCCTCCGCCGCCCGCCGTGGGCAGGGGGCCGTCCGGCTCGGGCTCGGCGGCCACCCTGCCTGCACGCGCCCCCCCCGCCCGACCCCGGCGTGGCATCAAGGGAGGGAAATGTCTCCTCCTCCTCTCCTCCTCCTCCTGCTCCGCTCCTCCTCCTCCCTCCTCTCCTCCTCCTCCTCCTCCTTCTTCCCCTCCTCCTCCTCCTCCTCCCCCTCCTCCTCCTCCTCCTCCTCCTCCTCCTCCTCCTCCTCCTCCAACCCCAGCGTGGCAACAAGGGAGGAAATGCAGTCAACCCGCATAGTAAGGACGTGGAGCCGGAAAGACAAGCCTTCTGTCGCACATTTTCGAGAGTCAGGATGGCACCAAGGGGGGACCAAGACAAGCCTTCTTTCGCACATGTTCGAGAATGAGGACGGTACCCCGACCCTGGCGTGGTGCCAAGGGAGGAACTGCAGTCAACCCGCATAGTAAGGATGGGCAACTTTCCCAAGTCGGGAACTGGAACATGTACATGACCAGTGGCGGGCGGTTTTTCAATCCCACGACTTTTTCGAGGATCGGGGACGACGTCGGGGTGGTGTGGTGTATACTTTTCCCCGTTTTTCCAAGGGAAACAACGAAACATGTATACACCAGGATGCCGTATACACCAGAATCCGTTTTCTTGTGCGAATCTCAGTGCGGGACCGGAAAAAAGCATCGGTGCATAAACTTCGGATCCTTACCAAGGGTACCCTTGCATCCTTGCCTCCTCGGTCCATCCTTGGCCACTTTCGTTGGCCGCGCCTGGCGCCCAAGGCCCTTACACATCCTTATCGCGCCTCCTTGCTACACGGGTTGACTGTACCTGGACCCGACAAGTGGCGTTCACCAAACGGCCCTGGGCGTCTACTGCACAGCCCCGCCCTGTGCGATGCCTTCTGTGTGCGACGGCTTCGCGCGTCGGGGTGATGCTTCGGAGGGTGGACTTTCTGCTCCCTGTGGCACAGCGGTGACCCACGCCAAGAAGCGCCCCTGCTTGCCTCCAGGGTGCCCTGGGGCTTCTTGGGCCTCGATGGCTCTGCTGCAGAGGGCGCGGCGCTCCCGCGCCAACGAAACTCAGTGGTCGTCCTGGGGCAAGGACAGACACAACGCCCCTACCCTGGTCTACGAGGCGCTGTGTGCGCTGAAACTCCTTCGGGCTGGCAGGGTAAACCCTGCGTCATATGCGGCGTCCTGGCGGCTCCCTAGGCTCTGGGGTTCCGAGGAGGTTTACGGACCACGCACTTGTAAGCCAGGGTAGGGCCGATTTTTCAGTCCTCAATTGGGGTCTCAGGGCTGGGCTTCTCGTGGCAGGTTTCTCAGTGGACTGGCCTCCGCCGCAGGCGTCGCGGGCGACTCGCGTGGGGCCCCCTCTCCCCTCTCCCCTCCCCCTCCGCCTCCCCCTCCGCCTCCGCCTCCGCCTCCTCCTCCTCCTCCTCCTCCGCCTCCGCCTCCTCCTCCTCCTCCTCCTCCTGCTCCTCCTCCTCCCTCCTCCTCCTCCTCCTCCTCCTCCTCCTCCTCCTCCTCCTCCTCCCCCTCCTCCTCCTCCTCCTCCCTCCTCCTCCTCTCCTCCTCCTCCTTCTCCTCCTCCTCCTCCTCCTCCTCCTCCTCCTCCTCCCCCTCCCCCTCCTCCTCCCCCTCCTCCCGTCGGGGAGCCCGCGCCCGCCGCCGCAGGGCACCCTGGGCACCCCGGGGGCACCCGCCCCCTGGCGCCCCTGGCGGCACGCGGCAGCTCTGCTGCTGGCCTCCCTGCAGTCCCGGCCTCGCGTCGGTCGGGCGGGACGAAATGAGGCGGAGGAGGAGGAGGAGGAGGAGGAGGCGGAGGAGGAGGAGGAGGAGGAGGAGGAGGAGGAGGAGGAGGCGGAGGGGGAGGGGGAGGGGGAGGAGGAGGAGGAGGAGGAGGAGGAGGAGGAGGAGGAGGAGGAGGGAGGAGGCGGAGGGGGAGGGGGAGGGGGAGGAGGAGGAGGAGGAGGAGGAGGAGGAGGAGGAGGAGGAGGAGGAGGAGGGGGAGGAGGGGGAGGAGGAGCTTCGGGAGGGGCTGCGGAGGTTTCCGGCATTTTTTGGGGGGCGGGGTGGAGTTCTCGGGCTGGACGAAAGGGGGGGATTGGGAAAGGGGGGGTTACGAAATCTGCCGCATGCAGCTGGTTTCGGCCCCACCGAGGGGCCCATTCCTCGATACATGGCCGCCTGCGGCGCTGGGAGGCGCCGGGATAATCAGCTAAGTGAGCTGATTCTCAAACCCCCCTTTGCTATCCCCCCCTTTCGCCCGACCCGAGTCGGGCGCGGCGCTCGGCAGGAGGAGTGTTCTGCCTGGCCTCGCGTCCGCTCGTCTGAGTGTTCAGAGGCAGTCGCAAAAGACAGCCAGGGGACGATTTTTTCCTATCCGTGGGGGCGTCGCTCTGCAAGGGCTCTTCGCCCCCTGCCGCCGGCCCCCCCTCTCTGTCATCGGAGGTTGGGGGCATTTCAATTGAAAAACATTATGTGCCCTGGATGGGGGGATCAATAATAGCTATTCTGTAGAAGTGAGAACTCAACAACGGCTCCGCCTGATGCTTCCTCACGGTCTATTCAAGATCGCTCCCTCGCGCGGGACTTCCGCCAAATGTGTGAAGGAATCGCGCTCTCGCGTGGTCGGAGGTTGGGGGGGTGAGATCGCCGTGAAGCGGAGGCCCCCCGACGGGAAATCGGTTCCGGTTTCGTGCTCGTGTCTTGCGCGCGGTCGAGGCGAGGCGGCGCGTGGTCTCCTCCTGTAGCTGGGCCGAGGCAGGAGCGTGCCGCTCTGCATAGGGGAATCTGCAGAAGCAGTAACAAACAAATGCTCGGGAGGGAAAACACACAGACACAATTAGCCGTCGATTCCCCCGGAAACATGGGAACATATGGGAAGGTGGGGGGGAAGACAAAAAGCCCAGAACATATGGGGAGATATGGGGGATCCTGTTGTTTGTGTGTGTGTGCTTATTTGTGTGTCCCAGGGCCCCTTCAGAATATCACAAAACAGTCACACAAAAAATAGTCAGGGGGCGATTTTTCTATCCGTAAGGGCTTCGCCCCCTGCCGCGGGCCCCCTCTCTACCAAAATGGGACATCACAGAGTCGCGTCGGTGCGTCTCGGCGCTGCCTTGGCGCATCTGGGGGAACAGCATGCGGGGGCGGATAGGAGTCATCAGCGCATATTGAAACGTTGGCGTTATCGAAGACGCCACCGGCGAATCACCGCCGCCCCCTGCCTTTTTGGAAGCGACTGCGTGGCCGAAAGTTGGGGTTGAGCCTGGCCAAGCTATCGGGCCACGCGTTCCCCGAGTGGGTTCCGAAAGCCTTCGGGGAACACGGAGTCGGGCGAGCTATCGGACCAGGTGGTTTCCGAGCTTTCGGGACTCCTGGAGGACGTTTTGGAGGGGTCTTGGGCCGTCTTGGAGGCCTCTGGCGGGCCTTGTGGACAGTCGAAGGCCATCTTCAGGCCATCTTCAGGCCATCTTCAGGCCATCTGGGGTCGTTTGGGGTGCATCCTGGGGCCATCTTCGCTGTCTTGGAGGCCTTCTTGGCCGTCTTGGAGGCATCTTGGAGGCAATTTTGGCCGTCTTGGAGGCCGTTTTGGGCGTCTTGGGGCCTTGTTGGGACCCTCTTGGGGGCCTCTTGGGGGGCTGTCATGGGGCCATCTTGGAGGCCTCTTGGGCGCTCTTGGGTCGATGTTGGGGGCCTCTTGGGCCGTCTTGGGCCGTCGGAGAGCTGATAAGAAGATGCCAAACTCAAAATCAATGATATTGACCTCTTCGGGCCGTCCCGGAGGAGCTCTTGGAGGCCCCTTGGGGACCTTTTGGGCAGTCTTAGGCCATCACTCTCTTCGGCCATCTTGGAGGACAATTTGGACCATCTTGGGCCATCTTGGAGGCCATCTTGAGCCAACCTGTCTATCTTAGAGGCCATCTTGAAGCGTCCTGGATTGTTTTCTGTTGACGTTGGGGTGGTTTGCGGTGGTTTCCGGACCTTCCGGGACCGAAGCCCCAGGGAGTTTCCTAAAAGAACCAAAATCGAAAGGGTCTAGCACGCTGGGCACCCCCAGGGGGCGGCGGATCGAAGACGCCCATGGCGAATCACCGACGCCCCCTGCCTTTTTGAAAGCGCCTGCGTGGCCGAAAGTCGGGTTTGAGCTTGGCCAAGCTATCGGGCCACGCGTTCCCCGAGTGGGTTTCAAAAGCCTTCGGGGAACACGGAGTCGGGCGAGCTATCGGACCAGGTGGTTTCCGAGCTTTCGGGCCTTCCTGGAGGACGTCTTGGAGGGGTCTTGGGCCGTCTTGGAGGCCTCTGGCGGGCCTTTTGGGCAGTCGAAGGCCATCTTCAGGCCATTTGGGGCCGTCTTGGGTGCATCCTGGGGTCATCTTCGCTGTCTTGGAGGCCTTCTTGGCCGTCTTGGAGGCATCTTGGAGGCCATCTTGGCCGTCTTGGAGGCCGTTTTGGGCGTCTTCGGGGCCATCTTGGGCCGTCTTGGGCTCTTGTTGGGACCCTCTTGGGTGCCTCTTGGGCTGTCATGGGGTCATATTGGAGGCTCTTGGGCGCTCTTGGGACGATGTTGGGGGCCTCTTGGGCCGTCTTGGGCCGTCGGAGAGCTGATAAGAAGAAAATGTCAAAATCCTTTTAAAACCGAAGGAACATCAATGAATGTTGCCCTTTCTGGCCTTCCTGGAGGACGTCTTGGAGCGCTCTTGGGCCGTCTTGGAGGCCTCTTCTGGGCCTTGGGGGCCGTCTTAGACTATCTTGAGGCCATCTGGGGCCGTCTTGGGTGCATGTGGGGCCGTCTTGGAGGCGTCTTGAGGCCATCTTAGCTGTCTTGGAGGCCATCTTGGCCGTCTTGGAGGCATCTTCGAGGCCATCTTGGGCCATCTTGAGCGAAGAAGCCGACGAGGCAGGCAGCTGGCGGGACGGGCCGAAGCCCCAGGGGGAGTTCTTTTGGAGAAAGAACCAAAGCCAAAACGTGAGAAATCCAGCACGCCAGGCACCCCATGTGATGAATCAACAGGGGGCGGCGGATCGAAGACGCCTACGGCGAATCACCGCCGCCCCCTGCCTTTTTGGAAGCGCTTATGTGGTCGAACGTGGAGGCCAGACCTGCCAAGCCATCAGACCATGTGTTCCCCGAATCGGTTTGGAAAGCCTTCGGGGAACACGTGGGCATCTTGAAGGTCATCTTGGCCGTCTTGGAGGCCCCTTGGGCGATCTTTCGGCGATCTTTGGGGGCTCTTGGGCCGTCTCGGGCCGTCGGAAGGCCGAAAAGAAGGAAATGACACAATCCGTCAAAAACCTTCGGACAATCAATGTTTTTGGCCTCTTCTGGCCTTCCTGGGGACCCTCTTGGGGGCCTCTTGGGCCGTCTTGGGCCAGCTTCGAGCCAACTTCGGCCATCTTGGTGGGTTCCTGGCACGTCTGACGCCGTCGGGAGCCGTCTTGGGGGCCTTTCTGGGCCAACGGGGGACCCTCTTGGGGCGCTTCGGGGCCGTCTTGGAGGCCATCTTGGGCGTCTTGGAGGCCATCTTGGGCGTGTTGGAGGCCTCTTGGGCCGTCTTGGGGCCCTCTTGGGGCCATCTTGGAGGCCACTTTGGCCGTCATGGGGCCCTCTTGGGGGCCTCTTGGGCGATCTTGGGGGCCTCTTGGGCCGTCTTGAGCCGTCGGAAGCTTACGTGGCCGAACGTTGAGGCCAGACCTGCCAAGCCATCGGACCACATGTGTTCCCCGAATCGGTTTGGAAAGCCTTCGGGGAACACGTGGGCATCTTGAAGGTCATCTTGGCTGTCTTGGAGGCCTCTTGGGCGATCTTTCGGCGATCTTTGGGGGCTCTTGGGCCGTCTCGGGCCGTCGGAAGGCCGAAAAGAAGGAAATGACAAAATCCGTCAAAAACCTTCGGACAATCAATGTTTTTGGCCTCTTCTGGCCTTCCTGGGGACCCTCTTGGGGGCCTCTTGGGCCGTCTTGGGCCAGCTTCGAGCCAACTTCAGCCATCTTGGTGGGTTCCTGGCACGTCCGACGCCGTCGGGAGCCATCTTGGGGGCCTTTCTGGGCCAACGGGGGGCCCTCTTGGGGCGCTTCGGGGCCTTCTTGGAGGCAATCTTGGGCGTCTTGGAGGCCATCTTGGGCGTGTTGGGGCCTCTTGGGCCGTCTCGGGGCCCTCTTGGGGCCATCTTGGAGGCCACTTTGGCCGTCATGGGGCCCTCTTGGGGGCCTCTTGGGCGATCTTGGGGGCCTCTTGGGCCGTCGTGAGCCGTCGCAATGCTCAGAAGAAGCAAATTTCCAAATCCTTCGAAAAATTAAGGAAAATCAATGATTTTGGCCTCTGCGGGCCCTCCTGGAGGACCTCTTGGAGGCCTCTTGGGCCGTCTGGGAGGCCTCTGGGGGGCCTCTTGGCCCGTCTTGGGCCGTCTTGGACTCTCTTGGGCTGTCTTGGAGGCCGTCTTGGACAATCTTGGGCGGACTGGGAGGCCATCTTGGACCATCTTGGAGGCCATCTTGGGCCATCTTGGCCATCTTGGAGGCCATCTTGGAGCCGTCTGGGGCAGAAAATTGGGGCAGTGAGGTCCGTGGGAAAAATCCCGGGACCCCGGCGGGACGGGCCGAAACCCGCTGGGAGAGTTCTTTGGGAAAAAGAACCAAAACCAAAACCGATAGGGTTTGGCACGCCGGGCACCCCTTTGCTGAAGCAAAAGGGGGCGGCGGATCCTAGTGGCCTTCGGGTCATCCCGCCACCGTGCCTGTGTTGTGGGTCTGAGGCCTCTTGTGTATGTGTTGGGGTGTCGTTGGGAGACTCTCGGGGGCCTCTTGGAGGCGGTTTGCCTCTTGAAGGCGGTTTGGGCGCCTCTTGGGGGCCTCTCGGGGCCTCGTGGAATATCTTTGGGCTTCTTGGAGGACTCTTGGGCGCGTCTTGGGGCCTCTTGTGGGAGATCGTGCCCTCGGGGGCGCGAATGTGGCGCGATTTCCGAGGTCGTGGCTTCGGGGGCGCGAGTGTGACGTAGTTTGCGCGGGATCGTGGCCTCGGGGGCGCGAACGTGGTGTAATTTACGGAAGATCGTGGCCTCGGGGGCGCGAATGCGGCGTAATTTACGACGGGTCGTAGCTTCGGGGGCTCGACTGTGGCATAACTTGCATGGGATCGTGGCCCCAGAGGCGAGAATGTGGCGTAATGTATGGGGGATCGCGGCTTCAGGAGCGTGAGTATGGCGTACTTCGCGAGGGATCGTGGCTTCGGGGGCGCGAACAAGGGATCTTGGCCTCGAGGGCGCGAGTCGTATTTTTACGTGTCCCACGGCCCCCCAGAAATGCAGACAACAAGATTCGGAGACGCTAATCAGGGCCCTGTTGGGCTGCCTCCCTCGCGCGGACAGTAACAAATTATAGTAAGAAACAGAAAGCAATACTGTAACATTGGAAGCTCGAAGCTGGAACTGGTGCAGGGAGCAGCAAGCCTAATCCTCGCAGCCTGATGGCCCCGCAAGGGAGCGGGCACCTAAACCTGGCCACTTGCAGCCCCCTCGTTCCCAGACCCCCTCGCGTGGTGAAAAACTCACGACGGAAGGTTTTTCGCCATTTTCGGCCTTTGGAGGCCCTCGCTGGGTCTCGGGACCGTCAAGAAACGACTCGGGACGCGACACTGGTCCCGGGGAAGGGGTCCAGACCGCTGGGGGTCGACGTCGTGAAAAAATCACGACGTCGGGGGTCTGGGTTCAGAGAAGGAAGAGGTCATGATGATGGTGCGTTTACATCTAATGTCGGAGTGTTGGGCCCCCCGACCCCCCCCCCCCGGCACACATGGACAAACAAAGCCCCCCGCTCCCCCCCCCCAGGCAACTGAATTTGGTCCCGGGCCTGGAACGACCAGTTTTCGGCCCCCGGGGCGCTCCAAGAGCACCCACGATGGCTTCCAGACAGCCCACGAGGCCTCCCAGACGACCCGAGAGCGCCCCGAGAACATTCCAAGACCGCTCAAGATGATTTCAGGACGGCCAACAGGCCCCCCAGAAGGCCCAAGAGAGCTCCGAGAGCTCCCCGAAGAGGGCCCCCAGACGCCGTCAACGTACTCATTTAGTACATTCAGCATTTCGGCGTTCACAGCGTCCAGGACGGCCGAACTGCTCCTCCAAGATCGCTCCAAGACCGTCAAATAGGCCCCCGACGAAGCATCAAAGCTGCCCACGAGCTGCAGAATGTCGAAACGCCGAACAAGAAAACGTTCATGATTCAAGTTGGGCGTGCGTGGGGCGTCGCTCCGCTGGGCCCCCAGGGGCACAGCAAATTGGCGCCAGTTGTGCGCCTGGCATGGCAAGGCCCAGGGACTGCGAAGTCCAGTTGTGCGTGCGTGGGGCGGCATTCCGCGGGGCCCCTCGGGGGCGTAGCAACGTGTCGGCATGGTATCATCCGCGGGCCGTGGCTGCCTTTTTTTGTTGGAGTGCATTGTAGTGGAAGGTGCTTGCGCCGTGCGGCCGTTTGGGAAGCCCAGCACCGTGTTTACAAGGCGCCCTGGTGGCTTTCGGTGCTCTTCTACGCCAACCTGGACAGTTTCTGCGCGCCGTTGGGTTTGCAGGGGGCTCTCTTGGGCCATTTTGGCGCTCCCCAGGGCCGCCTTGGTGCCTCTCTTTGTCCGTTGTTGGGTTCTCTGGAGGCCGTCTTGGGCCCCTCCTCCCCCTCCGCCACCTCCGCCCCCTCTCCTTCGCCTTCGTGCCCTTTCTCCACATTCTTTCCTCTCTCGTCCACCCTCTGGTTGTTGCGTCTTCCTCGTCGAAGTTGTTTTAGACGTCGTCGTCGTCGTCGTCGTCGTCGTCGTCGTCGTCGTCGTCGTCCACCTCCTCGTCGACGCGGTGGTGGTGGTGGTGGTGGTGGTGGTGGTGGTGGTCGTCGTCGTCGTCGTCCACCTCCTCGTCGACGTGGTAGTTGTGGGGGTGGTTGTCGTCGTCGTCGTCGTCGTCGTCGTCGTCGTCGTCGACGTCGTCATCGTCGTCGTCGTTGTCGTCGTCCTCCTCCTCCTCCTCCTCCTCCTTATCGTTCTGCTTCTCCTCCTCCTCCTCCTCCTCCTCCTCCTCCTCGTTCTTCTCCTCCTCCTCCTCCTCGTCCTCCTCCTCCTCGTCCTCCTCCTCCTCGTCCTCCTCCTCGTCGTCCTCCTCCTCCTCTTCTTTCCGGCGCCGAGGTGGACTGCACGGCGAACGTCAGCAAGGGCCTCAGGAGGAGGCGCCGCGCGGGGCGGCTGGCCCGTGGGCGGCCCCGAGACCGCGCCGCCACGGGTCTACGGCTCGAGTCGGGCCTGTCCCTCTGCAGGAGGGATATTCAAACATAGTCAAACATAGCCAGGGGACGTTTTTTTTTTTTTTTTTTTTTTTTTTTTTTTTTTTTTTTTTTTTTTTTTTTGTTTTTACCCATTTTTTTTTTTTTTTTTCCTTTTTTTCCTATTCAGACGCCTTTTTTGTTTTTACCCTTTTTTCTCATTTTTTTTTGTTTTTACCCCTTTTTAGGGTATTTTAGGATATTTCTGGAGTACGTCTAATTTTTCGCCCCAAGTCCGCCTGCAGGGTGACATGCCCGACCGGAGTCTGGGCAATCCCTCTGTCGGTGGAGGGAGGCAAGGAGTGCGCGCCGCGCGTCGGCAGCCAGTGGTCGCCGTGCGACCGACTGGGGGGGCACTGTTTGGGCGACGAGGCAGGGACGAGCAGGCCGGCTCTGGTGCGTTTGGTTCGGTTTTCGCAGGCCTCGGAGGTCGGGATGAGTTCGAGCAGCTGGAGCTCGACGAGTGTTCCAGAACGGCTGTGCCAGTTGCTCCGATTGGCCTTCTGCGGGCCGCGCTGGCTGGGGTCATTGGTGGGTGGGGCGATTACGTGGAGAAAGGGGGCAGGGGTTGAGAGAGGGGGGAGGTCAGGTCGAGGGGTGGTGCAGGGGGCAGAGGGATGCGGGAAGGGGAAGAGGGACAGGTGGATGAGAGAAGTGGAGGAGTACGCGGAAGAGGAGGGGGGGCGGGACGGGAGGCTGGGGAGGGGAGAGGTCCAAAGTCCTCGTCCTCGTACTTCTCATCCGGCTTCCCCCCTCCACCCCTCGCTGTCCTCTTCCTCCTCCTCCTCCTAGTTTCCATGCTTTTCCCTCTACCCCCCTTCTCCTGCGCCCTCCCCCTCTTCCTCCAGCTCCTCCTCCCTCCAGCTGCGGAAAGCCATCTACCATGGTCGACATCGCCTAACAAAAACGCATCTGTCCTTTTCCATCCTTTTTATTCGCTCCCAGAGCCACCCGAACAGGGGAAACCGACCTCAGGCTTTCGAACACCACCTACAGTTGGCCTTGATTAGTAGGTCGACCCTGCCAAGTCAAGGGTATCCTTGTGTCCTGTCTTTAGAGACGCGTGCCTGTTACATTCTTATGGCAATGTATCCCTCGGAAGGGTCTTGTGTCCTCTCGCGTGTCCTCTCCAATCAAGCCTGACTGTATTATCATTCTCATCGTTCCTCCTCCTCCTCTTCCTCCTCCGCGAGGTTCGACATCTCTGGGTACCCCACCATCAAGCTCTTCAGAAACGGCACCGTCTATAGGTACCGAGGCTCGTCCCCTCCCCACTCGCTTCCCTCCCTTACACTGGGATGAGGAAGACTGGGAGAGGATTATGTTGGTGATGATGATGCCGATGATGCTGATGATGCGGATAGGTGCTGATGGTGATAACTATGACGATGGCGATGATGATGAGGTTGATGATAATGACGATGTTGTTGTTGTTGATGCTGCTGCTGCTGATGATGATGATGTTGATGCTCATGATGCTGATCACGATTATGTACATGGTGCTGCTGCTGACTCTGTTGATGTTGATGCTGACCATGATGATGATGCTGATGCTGCTGATGATGCTGATGCTGCTGCTGCTGATGCTGATGATGCTGATGCTGCTGCTGATGATGATGGTCATGGTTGTGATGATGATGCTGATGCTGATGATAATGATGATGCTGATGGTGGGGATGGTGATGATGACGATGAGGATGATGCTTCTGCTGCTGCTGATGATGATGATGCTTCTGATGATGATGCTGGTGATGCTGATGATGATGCTGATGATGATGTTAAGGATGATGAAGATGCGGATGATGCTGCTGCTGATGATGATAATAACGACGATGATGCTGATGATGATGATGATGAGGAGGATGAGGAGGAGGATGAGGAGGAGAGGGCCAAGGAGAGGGACGAGAAGGCGCAGGGGCCCAGGAAGAGTTCAGGGGGTGAGAGGTTGTGGTGCTGGAATGCGCAGGGAGGGGTGAGGAAGGGGGGTTGGGAATGAGGGAAGGAAATATAATGAGCACGAGGATGATGATGAGATGGACGAGGAGGACGACTCTTGCAGATCCCTGGCGAAGGTTCGCATTTTTTTGACGATGCTTCTCTGATAACATTGTGTGTGTGTGGTCTTTACGGTATATTGCCTCAGCAGGGCGATCCTCTATCTTTTCCAAAGGAATGTATTATATAGGTCAGACTTCGACCAGGAAGTCAAGGGTTGAGCCAGACACGGAGTTCGTTTGGTGACCCTGACGTCGGTCTCTCCTTCCTCCCATTTTTATATTTTCTTTCCTGTTGAGCTACTACACTCAGCGGCCGTAGGTTGCGAACGAACCACTGGACGAGAAAGAGTATGAGCAGACAGAAGGGAGGTAATGGAGGAGTGTAAGGAGGACGAGGAGGAGAAAGAGGGAGTGAAGGCAGATGAGAGAGGAAGCTGAGGAGGAAGAGGAGGAAGAGGAGGAGGAGGGGGAGGAGGAGGAGGAGGAGGAGGAGGAGGAGGAAGAGGAGGACAACTTGGAAGGATGAAGATGAATGACGCGGATGAAGAGGCGGCGGAGTAGGTGGTGGAGGAGGAGGAGCAGGAGGAAAACGAGGAATCGGAATAGGAATAAGACCAACACTACTAATTCAACAGTGGGGTAAGGAGTAGGGGTCAGATGCGAGGAGGGACCTCTCGCGAACGTCTCGTGGGTCGCCGAGGGCTCTCGCGAGCTTTTTGCGGCAGGCCCGGAAACTCGTGACTTGTTCCCGGGAGGCCAGGGCTCTTGCGACATTGCCGCGGGAGGCGACGCCTCTCGCGAGCTCTTGGCGGGACGCCCGGGACCTCGCGAAAGTGTCGCGGGAGTCCGGAGGGCCAGAGAGCCCGTTCCAGGGCCTGGGCCGGGGCCGGGGCGTGGGTGCGGGCGTGGGCGCCTGCCGGGGAGTGGGCGCGCAGGCGGCAGGCGGTTGGCGGTTGGCGTGGGCGGGCGCCTGCCGCGGCGTGGGCGCAGCAGAAGCGCGAAGGAACAACCCGAGAGCATCGGAGGAGGAAGGGGTACCCACACCTCTGCCCTTCCCCGTGTTCCCTTGTTCGGGCCTCGGAGGCCCTCGTCGCCGCCGCTGGATTCGCCTAGAAGTTCTGGTCCGGGCGCACCCCGGGAGAGGTCTGGGGAGTAGCGGTATCGGTACCTTTAGGTTTCTCCAGACCCACTCAAACATCATCTCCTTGCAGTTCAGCGCGTCGATAGGTACGCCTCGTGTTCGCGTGCGCGGGTAAACCGACGTGCCGGCAGCCCGGGCTGCCCGGGCAGCCCGGGCTGGGGCCGAAGATCGGCGGTGGACAAACCTCCCTTTAGTAAACCACCCTTCAATGAACACGGCCCAGGACCGAAACCGACGGACCTGGACCCGCAAAAATGACGGCCGCGACGCCCTCTCGCGAACCGAAAACGGCCAATTCGCTACTCGACGTGTCAGGGTAGGAGGCCGATCCACCTCCGAGAAGGAGGCGCGCTGGCAGGGGGGAGAGGAGCGACGGGGGCGCCGCCACAACAGCCCGAGCTGACCCTTGTGGAGGGCGTGCTGCGGCGAGGGGCACTGGCGTGCACCCACTCTGGAGGCCAGGGCCCTCCAGTGGGCAGGCGCGTTCCACTACTCGCGCGCGAAGTAGCTACTCGCAAATGGCCTGGATCCGCCACGAAGGATTTACGATCCTCTGCGCAAAGGAGGACCTGTTTTTCTTACGTTTGCGAATAGTTACTTTGCGAGTAGCGGAGCGCGCTCGGTGGTCAAGGACGCCGAGAACCTGCGGCAGCGCCTCCGCTGGAAGTCCAGCGCGCAGGCCGGCGCCACCGTCACCTGCAACACCTGGGCCGCTGCGGGCAGGACGCACGGCGAGAGTGCGAGGGAGCGCCGCCGCCGACGCGAAGATCGCAGGGCCGCGCAGCTCGGGCCGTGGGCCATGAGCTCCAGGCAACACCACTGTCTTCCACGAGTCTTGGATCGCGTCGATCGCGCGGCACCCTGGGAAGAGCTGCGGCACGTGCTGCGGGGCCTGGGCGACCAGGAGCTCCATGAGGGCATGCGGCAGCCGGCCGAGGGCGGAGGCAGCCGCGGGCGCCCACAGAGGACGGCCGGGCGACCTCCCAGCCCTGGAAGGACGCGATCCCATTAGGCGGCCGATGCTGCCGCCCCCCATAGAGGCCTCCTAGATGGGGTCGGAGTAGATGGTTTCGGAGGGTGGCGCCGCATCGTCGATACAGCGGCGATGCATCGGCGATGCATTGGCGATGCATCGGCGAGGCACCAGCGATGCGTCCTCGACGTCAGCGATGAATCGGCGACGTCGACGTGAAGCAAATCGGGCTCCACATCGAGCCGCATCGGCGATGCATCGGCGATGCGGCGCGCTCCTTCGACCCCATCTACTCCGACCCCATCTAGGAGGCCTTCACCCCAGCACGTTTCCAGCGCAAGCGTACCAAAGGTCACTCCGGCGAAAGGTCGCTCCGGCGAAAGGGCCCGCACCAAAGGCCTCTCCGGCGAAAGGTCCCTCTTACGTCCAGCTGACACTGGGCGGCCGATGCCGCCGCCCCCCACCACGTTTCCAGCGCAAGCGTACTCAGCTTGCCGCCATCGCTGCCTCGGTGGGGACCCTTGAGCGGGGGACCGCCCAGAGCTCCCGGGCTGCAAAAACGCCGCGTCGCGACGCAGCTCCACATAGCAGCGGCGTCCAGCTCCTGCCGCAGCGTTATGTCGGGTCCCCCTACAGGGGGAGTTTCGACGAAAAAAGAATAAGTACCCCAAAACATACTCCAAAATGGTAAAACAAATACTAAACATAGTTCCCTAATATTTCTTTAAAACCATTTTGGAATATCCCCCCTGTAGAGGGACAGGCCAGACTAAACCTTAGCGGGAGGGTGGGTGTGCGCTGCCGTCGGCGCGCCTCACGATTTTCAGGAGGAGGCTGCTGCACTGCTGCACTGAAGGTGCCCTGGGACACACAAATCAATAGACACAACTAACAGGACTCCCCTATATTTTCTATTTTTTTATGGGTTTTTGTCTTCCCCCCCACTTCCCATATTTTTCCAATATTTTCCGGAGAAGCGATGATTCATTGTGTCTGTGTTTCCCCCCCCCCCCCCCCTCCTGATGCACCCCGCCCGCGAGCGCCCGCATCGCCGCTGCCGCCCGCGCGCGCTCCGCCGACGGGGAGGCGCGAGGCTGCGCACGGCAGCCAGGCTGGGCGGCGGAGCGCCTCCTGGCCCGGTGGCGAAGTTAGGAGGCAGCTACTGGGAGGTTCTCGTCGGCAAGATTCAGGGGGATATGGAGCCCCACTTGGGAGCTGCTATACGCCCGAGTGGGGCCTCGGACACTTGAGCAGGACTAAGAGCCCCACTTGGGCCTCGGACACTGAGCAGGACTAAGAGCCGGAGTAGGCGGGACTGAGCGGGATTGAGCCGGACTAGGCAGGATCAAGCCGGATCGAGCCGTTTTTTCGGACCAGGGCGAAAAGAGAATCTGACCTCCCAGGAGTTGCACCCCGAAGCGCCGGCTCGGGGCGCCCCCTCGGGCGAGGCGACGCCGAGGCGACGCGCCCCGGGCAGACGGCCTCGGGCCGCGCACGCCAGGTGCGGCAGCAGCTCGGGCCGCGCCGTCCGCGAGGCCACCTGGCCGCTGGGGATCCCAGGCCGCGAAGTGGCCCCCGCGGCGCGAGCTCCCGGCGGCCTGCCGGCGGACTCCTCCGCGCAGCTCCCGCAGGAGGGCCGCCGGGAGCTCCGCGGGAGCCGCGGAGCCGCGGGAGGGGGAGCGTGTCAGCCCCGGCGGGCCGGGGCGGGCGGCACGGCCAGCGGGTCGAGCGCCGCCATCTCGGCGGCGGCTTGGGGCGGCCCGGGGCCCTGCTCCTCCAGCACCGCGCGCACGCCCGAGGTCTCAACCACGGGCGGTGGGGCTGCCACCAGCCCGGGCTGCCGCGGTCAACAGATCAGGGGGGGGCCGCGGCGCGCCGGGCCACCGCGGCGCGCGCCCCGCGCGAACTCTGGAGCGGGGCGTTCCGCGCCAAGCCACTCGACGGCGCCCTTCGGCAGCAGCGGCTCCAGGAAGATCGGCGGGCGAGGTCGGGGCGCGGCGGCTGCAGGCCTGCCCGCGGCCGGGGGCCCGAGCCGGCGGTCGCGGGGCGCTCTCGATCGCGCGCCTGGCGCCGCTCCGCGGCTCGGGCGGGGCCCCGTGCAGCGTGCGGCAGAAGCTTTTGGGGCCTGGGCGCGACATCCAGCAAAT